AATCTGAATTATGGAACTGAAAGTGAAAGTAGTCAAACTGAATTTTTAATAAACCAAAATACAGTTTCAAAGCAAATTAATTCAGATACAAAACTTTAAATTCAGTTTCAATTTAGTGAAATTTATTTTCAAACCAATGCATTCAGTTTCAAATTATGAACATTCAGATTTGATCTGAGCAATTCAAATTCATTTATCCCACAGGTCGTAATTTTGAGTTGAGAGGTCAGTGCAACCGTACCCAAGCAGCCCAAGCATGCGTTATATCATCATTTCAACATGGCTGCCGCGCACATGAAGCTCTTTATTTTTACGTTTTTTAGCAGTTCTGTGTTGTTTATTTTACATTAAGTCAAACATAATTATAGTGCTTTATAGTGGTTATTAAAATATATGTTTTAACACTATTTGCACACTCAAAAGGCCTCGTAGAGCACTATTATTGTAATTGTTATTGCTACAGAGCAAAATAATTGAAACTGTTTGTCCGACGTGTGAAACTGGGACTCTTTCAGCGGAACTGACGTCAGTCCGGCTTCAGGATTTTGAGTTCCAGTACAACTGGAACACATCATCAATACATCATTGAAGCTCTCATGGGCCACATAAAATGCCATGGCAGGCCACGTTTGGCCCGCGGGCCTTGAGTTGGGCACGTCCTGTAAACTGTAAACCATGACACATTTCATGTGACATGAGTGTGTTGTTGTTGTACATCTCTAATGATGAGGGTCTTTGTTTTCTCTCTGCAGAGCTCCATGTACTCTCTGGCGCTGAAGTGTCTGATCAGCCTGTCCACAGTCATCCTGCTGGGACTCATCATCGCCTACCATGCACGAGAGGTTCAGGTAAATCATGTGTGCGTGCAGCTAACAGACAGTACACGAAACCAGAGGTATTTATTCAAACGGGCCAGACTGACATGTGATCAGAGAGTGGTGAGCTGGGAACAGATTTATGAAACTAAAATCGACAAAAGCAATTATTATCTAAAACAACTGAAATTACAGAAGAATCCCCAAATAGGTGGAATTTATTTCTGTTTGGGGGGAGGGGGGACCTGCCCATCACAGGGCCACATTCAAAACAACTTAAGGATATTTTAGAGAAGTGGGAGTGCCCGATGAGACAACCGGAGTACCTGGAGAGGACCTGTGCATCTGTGAGGACTGCAAACCCACAGAATGTGTGACTTTCTTGGTGCTAAACAACACTTCCACTGTGCAGCCCACTCCAGTTCAGTTCATGAATACAGACCAGTTTAATCCAGTTCATTTCAGCACCGTTACATTTACACTGCTTTGCATACAGTCATGGCAGAGTCCAGTTGAAGAGGGGAGATCAGTACAGGGTGAGCACAAGTGTCAGGACGCTTTTATTTAAAAAAGAAAAAGTGAAATATCTGAAGACCCCAGCAAGTAACGGGTGAGGGGACCTGTCCTTTAAACCAGGGGTACTTAACCGTTTTAGCCTCGGGACCCAATTTATTGAACATAAAGAGACACGAGGACCGGTCAGACATTACTAATGTATGGATCAAAATGATAATTATTCTAAATTTTGGTTTAATTTTTATTGTATTTACATCATCATGCTGCCTCTTGGCCAGGACTCCCTTGAAAAAGAGGTTTTTAATCTCAATGGGACTTTCCTGGTTAAATAAAGGAAATAAATAAATTATTACTTGGTGTTGGATTCAAATAGACTTGAGTAAATGTAAATGATAATGTGTTAGGTACAAC